TTTCTTTCTCTGGGGTGGGGGATTGGCTTGGGCCCTGACCTGGGTAGGACAGGGTGGGGGGTCTGCAGCCCCTCGGGGACGCTGAAGAGCCTTCGGCATGGCTGGGGAGTGTGCCAGGCTGTGCTGTGCCAGCCAGGACACTGGGAGCACAGATGGGAACAAGGTGAGAGAAGGAGGGGACAGTCCTGTCCTTCAGGAAGCATGCCAGGGTCCGGATATCTCAGCATCAAGTGGTGGGGTGTCAGCACCCAGCTGGGGGCTAGCAGATCCCCCCAGGACGCGGGGCTGAGGTGCTCAGCATTCCCTGCCTTGCCCGGTGCCACTGGTGCTGCTGTGCCCACAGTGCCCTTTTCAGGAGTGGGTTGCCTGCCTGGCAGCACATGCTGCAGAGACCCGTGAAGCGACCAAAATAGCTGCAGTTGGGTGTGCAGTGAGTGGGGCTGGCAATTCCCCCCCTCCCCCGGAATCAGGGAAGAAATGTCTTTTCCCTTCCAACGACACTGGCTGGGGCTGGGCAGGATCTGTGACGCATGTTCACCCATCTCCTCCTGCCAGTGTCAGATTCCTCCATCCATTTGTTTGGGGAATGTCCCCTAAAATCCCCGTCTTCCCACCCCGCTGCCGCCTGCCCGTGGCAGGGAGCCTGGCAGGTCGCTCACAGAGGCCGTGGGGCACAGAGCATCACTTGCCCCATGGCACGCACAGTCCAGTGCGCACGTGGCTGCATCTGCATCGCACAGGACCTTGCCTGGGGGTAGGAAGGGTTTGGGCTTGAGGATCTCTCCTGCTAGTCCATGGGAGGGTGTTCCCAAGGACGTAGTGTCTGGGGCAGGGGAGGCTGCCCCGTCGGCCGGGTGGGTGCCAGCCCGCAGCCCTGCAGGGTGCCTGGCGTGGGGTACTCCCGGGATGGCCCCCTCTAGGATGGACCTGCTTGCCAGCCCAGCTGGCCCCAGCACTGGCATCCCTTTGAAATCGAAGCTGCTGGCCTTTTCGCGCCAGCTATTCCTGTGAAATTCTTCAGGAAGGGAAAATTATCCCGCCGGATCCCTGCGGGGCTGTGCCATCGCCCTCCCTCCGGGCTGGCAGGGAGAGCATGGGGGTGCCACAGAGCCCATGTTCACCCCTGGGTACGGCCAGTGACCTCTCCTTGCTATTTGGGTTTTCCCTGCCTGCGAAGCTGGTGCTGGGGGTAGCTGGGACCCCCGAGGGTCGGTGGGCTCGGGCAGGCAGAGCCTGCTGGGGAGGGGCAGGGGCGAGGGCAGCACAGCTGGCACGGGGCCCCTCACCACCCTGCAGCAAGTCGTGCCTGCTCTGGCCACAGCTCCATGGTCCACGGTCCCCTCTACAGCTCCATCGCCCCCTCCTCAAATCCATCACCCCCTCCCTGCTTCCATTGCCCCATCCCCTGCCCCACTGACCCCTCCCCACCTTCACTGCCCTCTCCCCAGCTCCATAGCCCCTCCCCACCTCCATCACCTCCTCCCTGGATCCATCACCACCTCCCCTGCTCCATCACTCTCTCCTCTGCTCCATCACCCCCTCCCTGGCTCCCACCGAGGCTGTCCCCACCGCTGGTGCCAAGGAGGATCCCCCCCCTTGCCCTACAGCCCAGGGAGGACCCATCCATGGCTGGGCAAGAGGGGCATTGCTGCAGCCTCTCTTTACCCCAGGGTGGCAGGGGGGGGATTTTTCTCCACCCGCGGGCCTTCCTTCTCTCCTTCCCCCTCCCCTCACTGAGGCTCTTGCACAGGTTTGCAAGCACTGTTGACGGGAAGAAAGGAAATGGGGCAAAGCTGCTGCCAGGAACCACAGGCTCCCGGGCTCCTGCGATACGGCCCCGCTCCGCTGGCCTGGCTGCTTCCCGGGCAGGATTTCTGTGCAGCCTCTGTGAACCCTTTCTTCCAGCTATTGATATTGGATTCCCAGCCCAGGGCCACTTCCAAGGCCGTAAATCGGCTCTGTTGCTCTACCTGGTGTTCTTGTTTTCACTGTGGGGCTTCCAGACTGGCTGGAGATCTTGGCTTCTGTGCACGGCCGTGATGTCCCCATCCTGGCAATGAGCAACGTGCTGTGTCCCCCCCCCCCCGGCCACCTGGGTACCCCCGGGGTGCAGGCATGGGTGCAGCAGTCGCTCCCCAGCAGGCACAGGCAGTGGTGCAATGAAAGGGCAAGACTTGGCCCAGGGTTGGAATACTGGTGGGACCCCCCCTGCCCACCACCACAGGTGGGATGAAGCTCTGGGAAGGGCTCCGTGGGTCCTTTGCTGTCCCCACTGCGGGTCCCTGGGGCATGGGCAGGACTTGGAGCACCCAAGGAGGGTGTTGGGGTGGGAGAGGAGCACCCCAGGGTGCCACCCCAGGGTGCGGGACAGAGGTGAGGGGTGGCTGCTCCTCTATGTTAAAAGGAGCCCCTTGACTCTGAAAATCCATGTGTTGTTCTTGGCTGGGCTGCGGCACCTCCTGCCAAGAGCAACAGTTTTACATATTAAAGCAAAATTAAATTAAAAGACTTTATTTAAATTAAAAGATTTGTGCATTTCCCCCCCCCCCCACCTTTAACCCTTTGCAACCCATGAGGGTTGGGCATGGGTTGGGCATCCGTGAGGGTGAGCAGGGGTGTTGGGGCTGCCACCCTGGGGTCCCATCCAGCCCCTGCCCACGGGCCCTGCCATGCCTGCTGCCTGCCCACACCCTCGCTGGGCAGCCAGAGCTAGGCTCTGAGGCATTTGGGTCTTTCCAGGTGACGTTTCCAAGCTTTCCTTAGCAAACACCTCCCTAAAGGGATGTCTTGGTGGCAGGAGCTGGGCTTTAGGGTGCCCCGGAGTGGTGGCAGTGCCACCCTTGGGTCCCTCACCCCATGCAGGACACGCATCCTGGGGCTGGGGGTGGGTGGGATGAGGGACAAGGCCCAGCACCTCGTGGGTCCCACCTCCATCCCAGCTGTGGCAGACACAGCCATGGCTACCAGCACATCTGTGGGTGATGATTTGCCTCCAGACCGCAGCTAAAAATACCCCCTAAACACCCATTTCTTCGAGCATGGAAGGAGGAGTGTGGCCTCGACCCAGGGCACGGAGCCCCCCGAAGCTGGCTGCTGCTCTGTGTCACCCGAGCGCATGGGACAGTGCTTTCTGGGGAGCCTCCCCAACAACCTCCCGAGCTGGCAGCTGAGGGGACAAAGCCCCCTTCAGCACCCAAAATAAACTGTTTCCCAGGGCTCTGGAGCCGGGTGAGCAGTCACTCCATGCTAGAGGGAAATTCCAGGGCGACAGCTTATCTCCTGCACCGTTACAATAACCGATAAGCGGCTCCCATGGAATTTCCTTATAGCACTGAATTGGAGATGTTTAAATAATGTATGGCCGGGGTGTCAGCATGCGGCTGGCGATTAGGAGCCGTGTTGACAGGTTGTTATGTTGTTACTAAAGAAACCGCAGGGCTGCAGGAATGCCTGGGAACGGCGCGGTGCCCGGACCCCCCGGTGCCAGCCTGTGCCCCCACCCGCTGCCGGCACGGCCAGGCACTGCGTGCCGGGTGCCCCAGCCGGGTACCCCGGGGACCCTGCCCAAACTGCCCTTTGGACAGCCGAGACGCCGGTGTCCCCCACTGCGAACGGGTGCTGGGGATGGCACAGAGCACCCTGCGCTGGCACCCCAAGGACCAATGTGGGATCGGGAGCTCCTGGACATGGAGGGGCAGCTGGTGGCATCCCGTGAAGGTGGCAGCAGAGCCTGTCCCCAGGGGTGCTGCCACCCCCCGCAGCGTGTTTTTGTTGCTGACCCAAGCACCCTTGGCTTCTCCGGCTGGGCACCCTTGCCCCCAGCCCAGGTGATCTGTCACCCCGTGAGTGGGACGGTGGATTTTGGGAGCTGGCAGCCCCAGCTCAGCCCCTCTGACTGGTGTCACCACCCGGGTGCTGCCCTGGCCTTGCACATCACCCGTGCCGGGTGGCATTGCCGTCCCCTGCCCGTAGGGATGGGGCACCTTGCCCTGCCGCCAGTCCTGGGGGACGCCCGGGGATGAGGGGTGCTGGGAGGGGACACGGCTCTCCTCACCCATGCCACTGCCCCACCACGGCCCCCGGGCCCCGTGGGAACAGGCACCCCCTCTGCGCCGTGCGGGGTGCGGGTGGGTGCACGGCGGCCACGTGGATTTCCCGGTTCTCAGCAGCAGGACCGAAGCGGCACTTTCTGTCCCCACGCTGAGGGAGGTCACGTCACCAGCCTGCAGAGAGGGGGGGGGTTCCCCAGGGGCTGCCCCGGCCTGGCGCTCGCTGTTCCCCAGTGACCCCGGCCGCCCGCCCGGCTGTGCGCCCCGAAAGGTCCCCCTGGGAGCACCCGGGGGGTGTGGGGCCACGCGTGTTCCTGTGCCCACGTGCTGGGGGGCTGGGGGGGGGGTGGGGTGGGGTGTGTGTAGGTGCGGAGGGGGGGGGTGCGCAGGGGGGTGGGGGTGAGGGCGGCGGTGTTCGGGTGTAGGGGGTCTGTGTCCCGCAGCCGCGGGGGCTGGGCGGGACGTAGCCCCGCGCGGGGGGGGCTGTGTCGGGGTGGGTGTTCGCACGTGGGCGCCGTGCGCCTTGGCGCGGGGGGAGAACCGCTGCGGGTCTCGGTGCGGGTCCCGGTGTCGCTGGCGGTGCCGCTGCCGGTGCGGGTCCCGCCCCTCCCCGGTGTGTGTGGGGGGGCGGGGGGCGTGTCCCGGTGCGGCCCCGCCCCAGGGGCGTGTCCCCGCGGGGCGGGGCGGGGCCGCAGCGGGCGGCGGGCGCTGCGCGGCGCGGCCGGGGCTCGGCGGGCGCGGGGGGCGCGGGGCGCTCGGCGGGGCCGCCGCCGCATGGCGCGGGGGGCCGGGGCCGGGGCCGGGGCCGGGGCCGGGGCCGGGGCCGGGGCCGGGGCGAGCAGCCCCGGCGCGCCGCCGCCGCCGCCGCCGCCTCCTCCTCCTCCTCCGCAGCAGCAGCAGCAGCAGCGAGCGGCCGTCCCGGGGGCGCGGGGGCGGCGGGGCCGGGCGATGGCGGCTCTGTAGCCGCGGGGCCGGGGCCCGGCGATGGCGGCGCTGCGGCTGCGGCTGGCCCTGTCCGCGCTGTGGCAGCTGGCGGCGGCCGGGCGCGGGCTGGAGCTGGCGGGGCTGGAGGGGCCGCGGGGGCGGGCGGCGCGCTGCCAGCCCGTCGACATCCCCATGTGCCGGGGCATCGGGTACAACCTGACCCGCATGCCCAACCTGCTGGGCCACGAGAGCCAGCGCGAGGCCGCCCTGAAGCTGCACGAGTTCGCGCCGCTGGTGGAGTACGGCTGCCACGTCCACCTGCGCTTCTTCCTCTGCTCCCTCTACGCGCCCATGTGCACCGACCAGGTGAGCGCCAGCATCCCCGCCTGCCGCCCCATGTGCGAGCAGGCGCGCCACAAGTGCGTCCCCATCATGGAGCAGTTCAATTTCGGCTGGCCCGAGTCGCTCGACTGCGGCAAGCTGCCCACCAAGAACGATCCCAACGCCCTCTGCATGGAGGCCCCCGAGAACGCCTCGGCCGCTGAGCCCCACAAGGGCCAGGGCATGCTGCCAGTGGCCCCCCGGCCCTGGCCGCCTGGCACTGCTGAGGGCCGGGGACCCAACGGCCTGGAGGCTTGCGACAATCCTGAGAAGTTCCAGTACGTGGAGAAGAGCCTCTCCTGCGCGCCCCGGTGCTCTCCCGGGGTGGACGTCTACTGGTCCCGGGAGGACAAGGACTTCGCCTTCATCTGGATGGCCGTCTGGTCCACCCTCTGCTTCGTCTCCACCGCCTTCACCGTCCTCACCTTCCTGCTTGACCCCCACCGTTTCCAGTACCCCGAGCGGCCCATCATCTTCCTCTCCATGTGCTACAACGTCTACTCCATGGCCTTCATCATCCGCTCGGTGGCGGGAGCCGAGAACATTGCCTGTGACCGGGAGAATGGCGAGCTCTACATCATCCAGGAGGGGCTGGAGAGCACAGGCTGCACCATCGTTTTCCTCATCCTCTACTACTTCGGCATGGCCAGCTCACTCTGGTGGGTCGTCCTCACCCTCACCTGGTTCCTGGCAGCTGGGAAGAAGTGGGGACACGAGGCCATTGAGGCCCACAGCAGCTACTTCCACATGGCTGCCTGGGGCATCCCGGCCATGAAGACCATCGTCATCCTCACCATGCGGAAGGTGGCAGGGGATGAGCTCACGGGGCTGTGCTACGTGGGGAGCATGGATGTCAGCGCCCTGACCGGCTTCGTCCTCATCCCCCTCTCCTGCTACCTGGTCATCGGCACCTCCTTCATCCTCACGGGCTTTGTGGCCCTCTTCCACATCCGGAAGATAATGAAGACGGGCGGCACCAACACGGAGAAGCTGGAGAAGCTGATGGTGAAAATTGGGGTCTTCTCTATCCTCTACACCGTCCCGGCCACCTGCGTCATCGTCTGCTACTTCTACGAGCGCCTGAATGTGGATTACTGGAACCTCAGGGCCCTGGAGCACGGCTGCCTGCACCTCCCCGGCCGGCGCGCCGCCAACTGCTCCTTGGAGGCCTCGGTGCCCACCGTGGCCGTCTTTATGCTAAAGATTTTCATGTCACTGGTGGTGGGCATCACCAGTGGGGTGTGGGTGTGGAGCTCCAAGACGCTGCAGACCTGGCAGAGCCTGTGCAACAGAAAGCTGGGCATGAGGACGAGGGGCAAGCCCTGCAGCGGGGTGAGCTGTGGCGGGGTGCACTGCCACTACAAAGCCCCCACAGTCATGCTGCACATGACCAAGACAGACCCGTATCTGGACAACCCGACACACGTCTAGAGTGGGGGCTGCCCCCATCCCTGGGGACGGCCTGCCGGGGGAAGCCAGCCTCACGGGTAAGGGGCGAGGGGATGCCGCTGGGGGCGAGGGCAGAGGCTGAGCAGTGGCGGGAGGAGGGATGAACACTGGTTTGGGGTGGCGAGGCCCGCGGGACCCCCCCTGGCACCACTTGACCCCGACAAGTAGCTGCTTTTTCCTAGAGGTTATTTTGTTGTTGTTGCTGTTGCCAAATCCAGTGACTCTTCTAACGCTTTCTTTGGGGGGCCGCGGGGATGGGGCAGGGAGGGGAATAATCCAGTCCATGTTTATTTAATTCTGTAATTTATTTTAGATTTTTTTTTTTTTTTTTTTTAATCATTAGCTGCGAGGAATGGAAAAAACAATAAACCCTGGATGTGTTATTTCAACTGAGCCTGGTGCTGTTTGGAGGAATTGGAGGGGGTCAAGAGCAGCCCCATGGGAGCCCCCCCTCCTCGGCTGAGTGGGTCGGGGCCACAGTCCCTGTGGCGGGTGCATGCCAGGCCTGTGGGGGTCGTGCTGGCGAAAAGAGGAGGCGTGTGCCGTGCTGGGGTGCTGCCAGCTGCGGTGGGAGTGTGATACTGGGGGGGGTCCCTGCATCCAGCCCCCGCCGTGGCTTCCCCGGGGCTGGTTCTGGCGCCCGCCGCCTCCCAGCCGAGGAGGAGGGTTTTCCTGCGCTGTCATGCTAACGAATCATCTTTTCCACTCAGCACTCGGTAGGTGATTTGTGTCGGTGCCATCGCCTGCTGGGGCCTCGGTGCCAAGCGAGGGGGCTCGGCGCTCTGGCACCCAGGGCATGGCAGGCCAGGAGCCGAGGTGATGGGCTGGGGGCACGGGACTTTGGGGCAGAGGGCTCTCAGCTTTGATGTCCCACGCAGAAGCCCGAGGTGTGGGTAATGGAAAACTTCTGGGCAGCTTTATTTATCCCCTGCTCCGGTTACAATCCCAGCTTGCCTTCCCCATTGTCCGGAGGGAAATTCAAGCCTCAGCTGGTGTCGCCGGGGCTGGCGGGGGGAGCCGGGGCCGTCCGTGCCCCGGGGTGGCCGGGGTGGCAGGCAGGCAGCGGTGCCACTGTCCTCCCGGGCAGGGTGGCTCTGCTGGGGGCTCGGCAGTGGGGGCCGCTGCCCACCCTGACCTGAGACAGCTTGGCAGCTCACGCCTGCCATCATCTAATTGCCTCTTAATTAGCCGGTGTGCAGGCTGGGGCGGTGCTGGGCCCCCCTGGGGGTGTCTGGGTCCACTCTCCCTCTTGCCCAGGGAGCAACAAGCCAGCAAGGGCCCCTCTCTTCAGCAATCAAATTAGCTCCCACTGCCCGCCCGCACCAACACCCCTCGGCCTCAGCCCCGACCCCAGCGAATCCCCTGTAGCTCGGAGCCCGGTGTCGGGGCTGCAGCTGAAGGAGCAGTGCAAGACACCCACTGCCACCCCCACCCCCACCCCCCCCCAAGCCAGAGGTAGCAGCAGGGTCTGGGTTTGGCAGCCCCTCGCCCACCGCGGGGGCTTTGTGCTGCGGGGATTGATGCAGCGCAGCGCCTTTCGCCCGCCGCCCCACGGGTGCAGGGACAGTGGGAGAAGTCGAACGACTGAGCTGAGAAAAGCTTCTTGCCTTCCCCCCCCCCCCCCCCCCCGGAGCCGGCGCAGCAGCCGAGCTGCCAAGGAGCCTCCCCCCTCACTGCTGGGGGGGGGGTGTGGGGTGTGTGGGGGTGGTCACTGAGGGTCTTGCACTGGATTTGGGGTGCTGGGAGGCAGGTGTGCCTCTTCCCCAGGCTGGTGATGGGGGGCAGGGCAGGGACCACCCCCCCCATGGCCCTTACTGCCGGGGGTGGGTCGCAGCCTCACGGGGTCCCCAGCTGGCGTGGGAGGGTTTGTCTGGGCAGATAAAAGGGCTGTGACCCGGGGCTGGTGAGTCAATATTGGCTGCGGGACAGGCTCCAAAGTCCAGCCCGGGGTGCTGGGCACAGTGCAGGGCAGGAGCTGTGTCCCGGTGCTGGGGCGCAGCCTGTGCACTAAACCCCCCCCCCAAAAAAAGCTGCAGGCGGGCAGGCAGCCCCGCAGTGCTGAGCCTGGAGCCAGCTCGCTGCACCTTTGGCTCGCAGGCGTGGACCCGCGGCGCGGCGCTGGCGCTGGGTGCGCGCGTGGCCCGGGCCGGAGCCTGGCAGGGACAGCCTGCCCTTGAGCACCCCGGCACCCGCCGAGGGACTCGCTGCCGCACGGGTGCTCGCCCAGGCAGCCGGGGCCCGGCGGGACCAGCCGTCGGGCAGCGGTGGGGCTGCTGGCACCCGACCACCCCACGCTATCAGCCCCGGCAGCCCGGACAGCGCTGGGCACGGCTGGCCCCACTGGGGGGGCAGCTTTCCCGCAGAGCCCGCCCCAAAGCAGGGCTGCCCCTTGGAGGGGGCTCTGTGCCAGGGACACTGTCTGTCCCCTCGTCGCAGCCGCTTGCGACCCTGTGCTGGGGGGGGGGCTCGGCCATCCTCTGTGGCCCCCCCCCACTGCCCCAAGACCATCCTTGCACCCCCTTGCCATCCTACCCCGAGCAGCTGCAAAGGCAGAGGCAGCCCAACGCCTGGCCCCAGCAGGGTTGGGATGGCCACAGAAGCCCACCCGCAAGGGGCAAGCGGGGCTCAGCACTGCCCCGGCCCCACAGGGGCAGCCCCCCCCCCAGCTCGGGTGCTGCTGCCATGGTCACCCGTCCGTGGTGCCGTCCAGCAGGACAGATGGCTGCAGGGGCTGAGCTGGCAAGCGTGCAGTCAGGGCACCCCAAGGTCTTGGCCCAGCTAAGTGTGAAGTCAAGCCTACCGCCCCCAGCACTCGCTGAGCTGTGGACGTTATCCTCCCCCACGAGGCACGACCCCCCCCTCCAGGTTTTGAGTAGCAGAAGGGAGGTCGCTGTGCTCTGGGAACGTGCTAAAAATCCTCTTACTCTGACTATGAATTGGTTGATATTAATAATTAAGCCATGGGGAAGCCAAGGGGGGACCAAGCTCAAGGCTCCTCGCCCGCTGCAGCCCCATGGCCTCATGAGGCCGTGCTGGAACGTCAGAAAACACAGATTAATTAGCCTGCTGGGGCTCATCACTGGCCAGCTCTGGCGAGGTGGCAGGTGCGGCTGGGCCGGTCGGTGACTGTCCCGCAAGGGGCAGCAGGGCCACGGCTCCCCCCCAACCCCGCGCACTCGCGGGCCAGGCGTGGGGCCAGCTATTTATAGCCCCTGCTCAGGATACTAATGCCATGCAGGGGCTGCTATAAAAAGCAAGTCTCCAAAAAGGTCTCGGAGCAGATGCTGGTGTGAGGTCTCCACACCAAGGCCTAGAAAGGTCCCAGCTTGAGTCACACTCTGATTCACCCAGGTCCCGGTGCATGCCCGGCGAGACAAACCACCTCTTGTGGGGAAGGGATGAGGCTTCTCTGGGGAAAGCGGCACCTGTCCGTCAGCGAGAGCCTTCCAGCCCTCAAACCCATCAGGGGATTTCCTCTGCTCAGCAGAGCTTGACCTGGCCGGAGCCCTCCCAGCTTAGCTCGAGCAAGGAGAACAAAGACACAGGGGAAACCACTGTCCTCCCGGCAGCACAGCACTGGCAGAAATGCAGGGAAAACTTTGGCCAACATGTTTGTTTCGCAGATGAGGGGCTGCACCTCAGCGCCGCTCACCACCTCCGCAGCTCACCCCGTCGGTGCCCAGCACGTCCCCCCTGGGCTGCAAGAGACCGGGGCGGTGTGCCGGGGGTGGCGCTTTCAGACCTGGCGAGGACTGTCCTTGCGGCTCTCTGAGCCGCAGCCAAGGCCGTGGCTCCAAAACGCACGTTAGCAGAACAGGGGAAGCAGGTTTAATGGCCATCCAGCCAGGCAACGCTGGGGTGGGAAGAGCAGAGACGGTTCAACCCCCCCATCACCCCCCCGTATTCCCCTCAGGAGAGCTCCGTTTTCCCTCCCGAAGGCAGAGATACCACGTCTGATGGGGGCTCTGGGCAAGACAGAGACAGCCCAGGCGGTCCCATACAAAGCCAGGGCACCCGCAAAGGACTCACTGCAAGCCGGATTTACAAACACAAGTACATAATGTTTATTTTTAAGTTTCCAACTTATTACAAGTACAGCCCTTAGCAGAAACCCCCCTCCCCCCCAAATAACATTTATTTTTAGAAAATGTACAGTTCCATATAGGACCTGCAGAAAATGTTCTCTATGAACAGAACAAAACAAAGCCTCTGAAGGGGACGTGCGAAATACATCAGTGCTATTCTGTGGGGCACGGAGCTGAGGCTGGGGAGAAGGGAAGGATGGGGCTGGAAACCTGCCTACTTTCTGCAGCCATCAACAGTCCAGAACTGAAACGAATACCTGTTAAAAACCTAGAAAGTTCACAAAACTGGGCTGCAATTTTTAACTGAAGATTTTTTTTTTCTTCAGAAATCACAGGAGCTGCAACAGATGCTTTTGCTTTTCTGTTATGAAACCAGTACAGAGCAGCCCTGGGGCTGGTTTGTTCCAAATTGAAGACTTCTGTAATAAAAAGTTCAAGCCCTGATTGTATGATCAAAACCTATCATGATGAAGAGGAAGAGGTGATGAAAAAACACACCCTTTTCTTAGTGAAAAGTCAGTATCTCGGGGAGCAGGAGCCACTGCTGGGGCTGCAGCAGAGCCACCTCCCAGCAGGATTGGACTGGGCAGCCAGCGCAGGACAGTCCTCACTGCTCTGGGGGGTGCAAGGGAGGTGAGCTAGGGAAGGTGTCACTATAAAACATGGCGAGAGCACAGCCAGAGAGGGACTGGGAGACATCCCCCCCCCCCCGCCAACAAGTCCCCCAGTGTTAACTCCAGCTACTGGTAGGAAAATGAGTTTTAGAACAGGGGGAAAATATAAAGCAAACACGATTTCATATAAACTGTACATGTGCCAAAGCAAGACAACGGTATTTTACAGGTGTTCTTTGTACAAGATCACAGCTAGAAACAAGCCACTTTTAACTAGAAAATTAATTTAAAAAGTTACACAGGATGTGTTTCTGCTGCTCCCCTTGCCCCGGAGCTCCCTCCAGGGCATGCAGAAAACCACGCTCTCCAGTATGCTTCTGGCACTCGTTTCATCCAAAGGGCTACATCATTGTGTGCTGTTCAAGGTGAGCAAGGAGGCCAACTGCCTCCTCTTTGCTGCGTATGTGTGAAGAGCTGAGCTCAGAACCACCCTCCTCAGAGAGCAACCTCTACAGATTGCTCCTTGAGGAGAGAAAGGGAAAAGCAAGAGCACCTCAAAGCCAATTGTGTTAGGATGCTGGTGAAAGCCGTATCTCCATAAATGTAAGTGCTGTGCTTGCTTGCCCTATGCAGCCCTTCACAAGGGGCTCAAAATTAACACCATATAAATATATACATACAAGAACTAGCAGCCCATTGGCCTGATCGCACCCAGTCCTTCCGTGAAGCAA